TTTGAAAAAAAAAAAAAAAAAAAAATCACATACAATGAGGTTGAAAGAAATCCTCAAACAGCCCCAGCACTATTCTATCATTCCAGTTTAGCATAGAAAATGACTGCTCTTATTCTTAGGGTTATGAGAGACACAGCAAAATAAGTACCTTTAAAGGGACAGAGGAAAAATATACCCACAAATCTAATGATTGCCATTTGGAATATCCTAGAAGAAATCACCATTAAAGATTTATGAACTGATACACCCAGAAAGCTGGCTTTGAAAATCAACACCGTGCAAATGCAGTCATTTTGCTTTAAAAACAAAAACAAAAACAAACCCCAAACAGTATTTACAGCTCAACCGGCCTTTCCCATAGGCTTTTCTTCATGTTTGGATATTAAACACGAAGTGCGCCCCACAGCATCACGGATCGAAAGAGGTTGGAAATATTATTCTATACTTTTCGCTCGGAGTGCTTAAAAAAACAACCACCTACATTTGTACGGCTCACACGGCCTTTGAAAGTTCAAAGGAGAAAGCATTTCTCAGGATGAATAAATCATAATTGCTAAAATATAAGCTCCACAACTAGGAATGGGAATAAAGTGAGAACTGGCCAAAAGCTTTGCTTGCACCCCAAATCCCACCTACTTTTCTCAGATTGTGCATTCTGTTAGGAACCTACCACTCCCCTCCACCTCAATACTCCTTGGTAGTTCCTAGGTCCTACACCCTTTCCTTCCATCTCCATCACCGTTGTTCTCCGATTTGAGGCCATACCACAATGGAATCCCAGTCTCCTCTTTGCCCAGGGGCTGTGGCTGGGCGATGGGGAAAGAGAAGTCCGCACAGTGGAGTAATGAAAGGGGAGGAGTGCGACTGGGGCATCCCTCCCAGGTGATGACCCCAGGGGGGCAGGGCAAAAAAACCCAGAAGTGGCTGCACTGTTGGACCAGCCACTGCTGTGCCACCAGCAGCTTGGCTTGTGATTCAAGCATCACTTTACACCTGAGTCAACGTGCTATGGTCACAGTCAGGAAGTGACATCAGTCAGTAAGATCAGATGCTGTTAAGATGCTCAAGGAGAAGGAGCAGGGAGAAGAAGGCAGGACACTGAATAAGCATCTGCCGTGCTGGAGGGTTACCGATTACTAAGAGACAATGGACGTGTCCAAGCCCCTAACATTTTTTTAAGTTACTGGGGGAATCATAAGGATATCGCACGCCAGGTGAAATAGGTTTCCATTCTCACACCAAGCTCCCATGCTACCAGGGGATTCCCCTTGTGTAGAACATCCTTGGCTAACAAAGCCAACACAGGACCACAATCACGAGCTGTACAGATTTCTCTCTCCTGAAGATCTGGACAACAAGTGAATTCTTGGATTCTTCTGAAGATTATGGGGACTGTATGGTTTGGCCCATCCCGTATAATACTATATATACTATTAACAAGTATCTTAGTTACATATTACTTTGAATCAAGTATATTTGTGTTTTATTCTATCAGCACACCACTGTTAGAAGTGCACAAAAAGATAGCGACTACCCAACTTAGTGATGCAACAAAGAACACCAATAAAAAGCAACTGCTCAGTCATTTTAATGTTATTATAATTACCTTGATTGATGGCAGCTCATTCCCCCCCCGCCCAACTTCTAGCAAGCCTGTCCAGATGGTGCAGATTCATTCAAAATATTTCTTGGCTCATCAATTCAAACTGACAGTCTGAAATCTGTCCTTTCAGATGACCAAATTGAGGTCAGCATGCGCAGTCAGCTAGATAAATATTGAACTATGGGCGACGATGTAATATGGCAAAGGGTAGGCACATGCATGTGTTCCCTTCGTAGATTTATCCTTTAAGAGGCAGTCATTTAGAGAAAAATGAAAGCTGTTTTATCACAGAACAAGAGAGATGCATTCATTTAAAAAGTCTGGCAAAAAATATGACCCGTTGCATTAATACAGTGTTATTGATCTTTTGAAAGGAAAGCCTGAACAGTCAAAGAAAATGAAATAATTGAATACAAAGAACTTATTTGTGGAGTATTGAACTAATCAACCCAAGTAAGACCACATGGGGTCAGGGAAAAAACACAGTCCAGCTGACCATGCTAGCAGGGGCGGAGG